ACATTTCAAATAAACGTCTTTTTCTAACTAAGTAAAAATTTGTGAATACCTGTGGAGCTAATTTTCTTCCAAGCCCCCACTCACATGCATCAAGAATAATCATCAACGGAGTGAAAAGAAAATGCAGTAACTCAGGAGCATTTGGCTGGTGAATATGGTTTTTCAGTTTTGCCTAGAAAGTGACTCTGTATAGTTAAACATAGACAGCCTGCGCCAAGAGTGATGTTTTGGTACAAAGTTTAGAAAAATTAATAGCCTATTGATTTTGAACAACTGAGGATAAAAACTCTCAATGTGTATTAAAATAAAATCAAGAAAATTATGGGTAGCATTTAAATGTTGGTAGTGCAATACAACTTACCAGTAAATTGAACGACAATTTGAATTTCTGAAAAATATCAAGAAATTCACGTTCGGCAGGCATTTGAGCTCTCATTTGAAGAATCCCACTTTCTGGTGGAGGAGGAGCATTAGATCCACGTTTCCCTCTCTGAGCTGTCCGAAATCGTTGAGCTTGCTGTTCCAGTTCTTTCTGAGCCATCGCAGCTGATTGAATTCGGACAACAAAACGCTCAATATCGTCGAAGCAACGATTCAATGTATTCTACAATTTGAAAAATTCTTCAGTTACTCTGCAGCTTCCATCCTCTAGGCAGTGCAAAAGCAAAAGCACAAAAAAGAATTAAAAGTTAAAGGTCAGTCAGAAGAAAAAAATAATCAACTAAATCAAGAAGATAATTGTCGGAGCCAAAAATTCCTATAAATATAAACCAATATAAAATGTTGAAACACAGTTTCAAACTTTAATCAGCTCGTATGATCTTAGACTAGCAAAACAGAGTTGCTATGTATTGGTTAAATCTCAACTGAAGAAAAAATCCTTACAACTTCTTTTTCAAAATATTCAGTAGAATCTGAACTAGCTGATGCATTTTCATATCTGTCCGGCCTGTAGTTTCTATCCATCATATCTAAAAAACACTAATCCAAATAATGATATCACAGCATTGATTAAAACACTGTTTCCGCTTGTAATTAATTTATATAAATGCAGAAAAAAATTAATGCCTAATAGATGCAAGGAGAATGTCTGCTTTAAAATTTTTATAAGCTAATACTTATATTTAAGAACTTACTTTGTTGAGGATAGTTATACTGGAAAGGTGGAGCCGGATTAGTCGCGTACCCGGTATCTCGGCGACCAGCACGTACAAGCTGTACCTGTCCCATCAGGTAAGCCTTCATGTCATCCACCACCTCTTGTGCAGAAACACGATTACACTACAAATTATTATCATTCACCAGTTGTTCTTTAGCCAATAAGAGAACTCTTACCAATATTCCGGTTCAACTCACTTGGAAAATATGCATTTCAGTGGGATGAACAATTCTTCCTCTCTGACTATTCTCCCTAACGATAAATAAAACAATATTATTATGAACGTCACGAGGATCTGGGGAAATATGAGCACTTGGATCACTGACCAAATCCATTGGAAATTCTTCCACTGGATCCTTAATAAATAATGACAGTAAAAAGGTTACTTAATTTTTAAAAAAAATCATATTACTAGAAACAAAGAAAACCTGGAGAAAAAACATTAAAACAAAATTAATGTTATTCTTTTTCTTCAAAAAAAAAAATAAATAAATAAACTGGTAAAATCAGTGAACTAAAATGTTACCCCATTCTCGTCTTCAACTGATATTACGTTTGGCTTAAGTCGTAGTATGAGAGGTTGGGCCCAAATAGCGCTATTTTTTTCCAATTGTTTTAATTTCCTAACTCCATCACTAGCAGACAACAGCCCATACTCCCGACCAACAGCAAACGAAGCTAAATGTTCCACAAAATACGACGGTGAATCGTCTTCCATAGGCCCGCCATGGTAACGCCGATCTGGAACTGTAAGTTTCCAAGGTACCTTGTCGAAGCAAAATGTTCAAGAAAATAACAAAAAAAAAAGAGGATTATAAGAAATATCAACCAGAAAATTTAGAGAGCATGGAAGTTTAGGTAATGTTCAAATTCTGAAGAAAACAACCATAAAATAATTTTGGCTTTAAGTGTAAATCTAAAGCTTGAACGTTTGAAAGTGGACGTGTTGAATACTAAAAATTGTAATTTTGAGATTAGTGACAAGTAAATAAAACTTATCTTACGATAACAAATGAAAGTTCGAGGTTTAAATCAGCAACAATTTGTTTTGGTGATTGAGTACTCAAACAACTTTTTCTTTTGAGATAACAAATTCAATAATCTTATAAAAACTTCTGTGAAGAAAAAAAAAGCTTAATCCACAGTTAATTCAATTTTCACTTCTGAAAATTCCATAAAATACTATGACTTAGGTTGACTATAAAATTTAATAATACAGTTCCTTATCTATTATGTTTGTTCCATTGATAGGCTTCACTAGCAATTATACCAATAAAAGTGTTAAAAAGGCACTTTAATCTAACGATTAAAAAACTTCTGTCTTAGATCAAAAATAACATTTAAAAAACCTAATCAAAACTTTTCGCTTCCATATAGTAATATCAGTAATTGACAGTATTTTAAAAGTAACATTATATCATTATGGCTAACGGTAACTGAGTGTTCCTTGAAAATACAACAAAAAAGTAATCCCGTTATCTTCGTTAACAACAAAAAATACAAATAAATAAAAAACAGTGACAATCAGCAATAACCAGCACGCTTCAACACTAAGTAAACCTACTCAATTTTTCAAACAACCCCATTATTTACAAAAAATTTTCAATCAGAACGTCATTTTATTTTTTTTTCCCCACTGTTAATGTGTTTTAGATACCGGTATTCTCGCCCGGCACCAAATGAGTGCCGTTATTGTTGCGCCAAAAAGAAAAGCAGATTCATCTTATTGTAAGCTACACAAATTTGAAAGCAAAATAGAAAAAAACTGTTCTAAAATCTTGGGATTAAGTAAATCTTTATCTCAGAAGGTTCATTCACTTAACAGGAAATTCAAAAAGGGATATATCATTTTTTTGTACGTTTTATCTAGTCAATGTAGCTTAAAATAAAAAATTTTTTCTCCAAAAAACACACTTTGATGCCGGTATTGGTGACCATCATTAAAAAATTTGCAATAAGCCAGACATCGCTTCTTCGTCCTGTTCTCTTATGACTTGATTAAAAATCATCACTAGACTCAGAAACGATAGAATTACGTAAGCTTAAGAAAACTGGAATTAGTTTTGAGCAAACCCAAAAGATGCTGAACGAGTGATGAAAATGAGAAATGGAGAAGGAAATGCAATATCAAAGAACGACTTATAATAGCGTCCGGAACTGGTTTGTGTGTAGTATAAAGCTGAAAAAAACTAAAAAGAAAAGCCAAAAACGAAAACCGGCAAACCAAAATGGACTAATTCAATAAACACCTAAAGCTGAAACGACGCCCATCACCAAATTGCGTGCAACAAACTACACGAGTAAACTGTTCATAAGCAGGCATTTATGATTAAATGAAGGTAGCAAATAAGACCAATCGGGCGCAAATATATCTACTAACCAACACATCCAGAGGATTTTTCACCAGCATAAAAAAGCAACAAGAAACGCGCATCATGCAAACCAATTCCATAAATATTTGCTTCTTGTCCTATCTTTCTGACCGTTAATATACAAATCCTGCTTATAGTGTACGTGTTAATGAATCATCAAATTTATTTTCTTTGTCTGTTAACAACCAATATGATAAAAAGTAAAAGTGCATTAAAAATCAAACAATTTATATTAATCTGCTTAATGACTAAATATAAAGAATGCAAAAAACTCGTGGCAATTGAGCATTCATAATAGGTATTTAATACAATTTTCTTCTAACTGAACAATTCTTCGTACAAAACCTATCGAAAACACTTGCTTAGTGTCAAAAAAATGTCATTCAATCATTAAAAACTTTGTTTTCGCGAATTCTCTTAACTCAACCGAATCGTCACAGAACTGCTGCATCGTTTTCTCAAAATTTTCTAGGATAATATTTCCAAAAATAGTCGAGAAATTGTCAGATAAAAGTTGTTTATAATTAGTTTACTAAATACCAATTATTTATTTTCTTGAACTTCACTGAAACAATGACCTTTAGAATTCTTCAAGGTACTTGAGCCAGAAACTTTAAAAAATAGACTTCTTGGTTTTCATTGCCCACAGTGCCCTTTCAAATAATAGTCTCAGCTACACTTTTAGTGTATGAATACGTTTTGGGAGAAAGAATCAAAAAAAGACGGATATTTTTTCATAAAAAATGCAAAAATTAAATTTCACTTACTGCTAGTTGGCCCTGGATAATCCATAACACCAGGATACCTCTGTGTTCTCCCGTATGAAGAAGCTAAGACTGGTGAGGGTGCGTTTGAAGAGATTGATGCGCCTCCACCCCTTGAGTAATAATACGAATTAGAGACGGAAGGATGCCTCGAACTCGACGGGTAACCACTAGAAAAAAATTTCACCATTACTACGGCAAGCTTATCCAGTAATTGAAACTTCAAATCATCAACTTCATCTTCAAAACCATTCATCGATTAAACATTTTTAACAACGTAGCATAGCTCCTCAACAATTCCTCTTGGCTCAACTGTAGACTTTTAAGAATTTGCCGTTGAATTTTAAGGCTCTCCGAACAATTATAAAACTAAAAAATCCTGATAATTCAAAACACTATTTCAAACAGATTTGAAAAGAACGTTTCTAAACAAAATTCAAAAAATTTTTTGTGAAGTTCTAGCTGACAGCAAAAACTACTAATCATTAGGTAGTATTGAGAAAAGACATAAATTGAAGTAAAGTACTGACTACTGAGAACAATTGTGGTGGTGAATCAAATACAGCAAAAGATATTTTGTCCCGTTATCCTCCTTCTGCCGACAAAAAAAAAGTATCTGGCAGCAAAAGTTTTCATCTCCAACGTATGCATGTCAAAAAAGGTTCTCTGTCAGCCATTAAAGTGTTATATACATGAGAGTAATAAAAAATTTGGAACGATAAAAATCAATACACTTTTTCTTCAAAATCTTTAGTCATGAAACAAATTTGACCAACTACTGTAACTGCGCTGTCCATAATGTTGGAAGTTCAAAATGTTAATGAGAAAACTAGAACAAAAGAAAAGAATCAACCAAACAACCCCCGCCGTTTTTTTGGCTATCAACTGCTGTTAAAACTTTTTTTTTGTTTTAGAAAGACAGTTGTAATTAACGTTGCCAACAAAAACAATATGGTACCGTCTTCAAAGCTTAACAACTCTTTGTCATAAATTCCATAAACTATATCCATGAGAATTTTTCCTAATCACTCAATTTGCCCAATTTATTGACAGTGAAAAAAACATGACAGAAGAAAAAACAGATGTCTGAAAATACGAATGAGAAAAGTACGCCTGTGGTATATTTTTGCTTTGCGTAAATACTTCCGATGTTTTGCGCATTTAACGACCACCTCCTTAAGTAGCATTGATGATAAGCTATGAACTTTTAGAAGTGAAATTCCACTTTGGCCATGAAATGTAACAACAACAGCTGATGCAACAAACCAGGTACAATTACAGAAGCCGCCTACTACTTTTGCGCAAACCAATCGACATGCTCGAAAACAGATGTATCCCATGATTTACCTCTGATTTGCTCTCCCAAATTTCTTCCATAACCGCCCGATGCCTACTTATCTATGTTATCAAGAATGCGCCTTCGCCAAAAGAAAAAAAAAAGAAACCGAATTTCACTGCAAACAGTGTTGCTGCTATAAATCCAATCAAAGGCTAAACAGAAGATATTTTTATTTACTTGCAAAAAAAGAAATTTAAATTTAGATTAAATTTTAGTAACAGCCTTTAAAGAAATCTGTCTTTATTTTGGCAAAAATACTTGACGGCTACACAAAGCAGTTGTAAACACAGTTATCGATCTGCAATCGTATCATCATCTATTCATCCTCTTTACCT